TATCTTTTAATTTTTGCTCACTTGATTCTCCTGCTGATATTATCTACCTTCTGATATCAATCAGAGCATTGCTTGTATTATCTTGGTGTCTTCCAAGTTTAGTACATAGCATGAAGATTTTCCTCTACATAGCTTCATACAAATGCCCATTCTGTTTTTGGAAATATTTTGAATATAAATAACATGCACAATATCTAAAGATGATTTATGCGCAATAGGTCCCTCAGTAAATGCTGGACATTTAAAAATTCTAATGCAAGGTACTTGAATATTATTTTTATTGATTTTCTATGAATGTTCTTTATAGCAACTGCTACGGCTAAAAAAGCATACTTTTTTGTGACAGAAAATGCAAAAATGAAAATGGAACCTTGCTTTTTTAATTGAACATGATTGCTTAACTCTACTGTTATGAAGTTGGTTCTGATCAAAGATAAAGTGAGAAAAATATATACTGAGTTGGTGAAAACTATTTTTAATACTTTCGGCTACACCTATATCAATTCTCACATTTCTATTATTTGCTTTAACCATCTTAAGTTTGTTTCACTATTATAATATTTTATTTCACCATTACTAATATTGATAACGACGCATGATATTAACTTATGATCTCAGTCAGATGTTTGTTCAACTTCTACATCATCATTATCATTATCATTAGTATTTTCATTGTTATCAATATTTTCATTATTTTCATTAATGTCTTCATTACTATCTTCATAATTATTATTTTCTTTATAGCCATAATTATTATTGTTTTCATCAAGTAAGAGTTGAGTATTTGCAAAAGCATTTGCAAGAGCAATTTCATCAATGGTGAAACCATCTTGGCTATGCTCTTCAGAAGTATCAGTGAAATCATATTGGCTACTTCCTTCAGAAGTAACAGTAAAGCTATCTTGGCTATTTTCTTTAGAAGTAGTGCATTTTGTGAAATCTTGACAAGTAAATCCAGAATCACTCATTTGGTAAATACCTTAAATCACGAATACAATTTATTGAGTTAGAGACTAGATTGCTATATGTAATAGTTCAAAAGTTAAATAATAATTTGATTAGTATAATTAATATTTGTTCTATTAAATATATTAATGATTTATTTTGAATTTATACTAAAAAATTAATTCTGCATATACAAGTTTATTAAATTTTTATTAATATTAATTTTTACTTAAAATATTTTCTCTATTTAGATTTAAGAGTGATAAAATGATACAGTATATTAAACTGAATAAGTGGGAGGATTAAATAATCGTGTGCAAGTTGTTTTGTTTTAAATTGTCTACTAACTTATATTTATCGGTTTATTAGATAGATCAAAATCCGAGAAAAAACTTTATTAAAGCAAAAGTTGAGGGTTTAAATACAAGTAAGAATTCCTGAGCATCTAACTTCTAGGTGAAACAACTTTTTACTTTACATGATAAATGACCCAATAACAACAATGCGAAGACAATATCTGGTCATTAAAAAAAATTTACAAACTTCTTTTTTTTATATGTTCTATAATCAAGTTATTACCTTCATCCTTCTAGGCAGAACAACTTTTGCGATGATTTTTTGTTAGTGAAACGTTATGTTCTCAAAAAGTACTTTAAACCGTATAAATAAGTTACACAAGCTATTTTACAAAATACCGCATCGATAACCTT